TTTTAGTACGGTGCGCCTTATGGTCGTGAAAATACGGTATATATTTAACACCATGTAGTTTTTATAGTGGGCTAATACACTTAGAGCAGTGTTTCCATACCAGGCTTATATAAGACTTTTATATTTTTTGCGGCTCCAGACTTGATCCAGATTTGTTTTTTGTTTTTTTTGGTCCAATGTGGCTCTTAGAACAGTTCGCGTTGCCGAACACTGTTGTCTTTTGTTGGTTTCTATATGGCAGGTTGATTTCTTCTTTTCTTGTTGTATTTGTTGTGCAGTATGTTTCTTCTTCACAGGTTCCTTTTGTAATTTAAAGGTTTCTGTTTGATTGATTTATGTTTTTTATTTTTTTTTACTTGATAATAAAAAAATAAAAAAAAAACAATAGATTTTTCTGCTAACCAGTTCAACTTAAATAACTAATGAGCTTGAAAGTTGAACAGTCTAAATGCAAGCCACACTTTTCAGACTCTTATTAATCAGATTTCATGCAGTGCTGTTTCGCGCTGCATAAAATCCCTGTAATTTATTAGAACGTTTGTTGTGATGTTTTTTCTTGGCTCATTCATTTTTTATTTTTTTTTCCCTCCATGCTCAGGTGGAGTACCAGGCCGGATCCGGAGGCAGGCTCCTCCCTCAGCGCTACATGAACGAGATGGACGGCGCTCTGATCCCCGTCATCCATGGAGGTGGCGCCAGCGTGCCGCAGACCGCCATGGACATGGAGCTGGTGTTCTACATCACACACTCTCTGCAGTGATCGTAAGACCTCCGCACACTAAAGAAGATGGCCGCTGAACAGATGATCTATTTTTTAGCGGGAAATAGGTTCCCTTCGCTGCGCTCTCCAAAGCTGCTACATCTACCCGACGCCAAACACTAAAAACCTAAGAACCGAAGCGTCATTCTCTATTCTGCCTTCCCGGCTCTCCGCTCGAAAGGAGAGCCTCTGCGAATGTCACCACAGTCTCATCTGGATGTAATTATTCAAACTAAAAAAAACATGGGCTCAACTCAGTGAAAACAACAGCAGGGAAACGAGTCAGGTGCTGCGAAGAAACGCTGGGAGAATCAAGTCAGCCGCTTTGTTAGGAACGCTCCATCTCCACATCTTAGGCGTTGTGATGGTTTGTTTTTCTGTCTTAGAAGTGTTTCGTTTCTCTGCCCAGAAGCTTGTTTTATGTTGCTGCTCATGTTCCTACAGTAGAGACGGAGCAAATCCAACACCAACCTGGAAGAAGAATCCACATTTAACCAGATCCAATTCTGCTGCGGTTTTTATTTCGATTTTTCATCCGACATGAAGCTCAGTTTGTAAATAAAATGTATACATTTGTTTGTAAACAGAAGAATATCTGTCAAACATTTACAAACTAAAGCCGCAACCAGGCGGGATTGGATGCTGGGAGAGTTTCCAACCAAAAGCTGAGCCTCAAACGCCACATTATCAGCTTTTGTTATTCTGAGCTGGACCACATCTTCAGCAGCATTCCTCATATGATTGTATTTACCTTTTTTTTTTTACTTTGAAATGAAGGTTGTAAAGCGTAGCTTAAAGCGGCAGCGGATTTCTTGTTGGAAAAGCTCCAGTTTTGCCTCGTTCAGGGCGAAACACTCCCAGCCCGACAGCCGTCCTGAAACTCCCAGGGAGCCGAGATCTGAAGGACGCGAAGCAGATTTTCCAGTTTGTCTGAAATGCCTTTCCAACAGCTTTTTAATCAGAGCTTAATGTCAGCAAAGAAGAAACTGATCTGAGAATATCTAGATTTCATTTTCACATTTGAAACTATTTCAGACCTCCTCCGCATCTTAACGTTGAATAGCGTTGAATTCCTCATAATTTGGAAAGCTGTTACGGACTTTAATAAATGAAGACGCAAACGAGAAATCAGCGTAACACATGTTCTATCTTAAAACAAAGGCAAAGCTGATGTTTTTAGGTTTATTCTGGATCTTATATTAGCAAAGGGCCCCGTTAGCATAGTTAGCAGCATCTTTCTAAATCCAGTTTAATCCTTGCTGTTTTACATGTAGCCTTCCTGTTATCCCCTGAAAAACCTTCTCTTTCTCGCAGCCTGAATGAATCAAACCATTTCTGCCTGTTCATTTTTAAACACCTCACCACAGTAAGAACTTCCGCACCGAAGAGCGGTGTTGTTGGTGTTATTTGGTAGCGCTTTAAGATGAGATGTGTTCACCGGTTTGAAAAAAATCTTTTGTTTCAGAGCAACCGATGGTCAACATCTCAGATCTATGCATCCTTTTCCGATCCATCATAACTCATGGACTATGCATCCTATTTTAAAGCTTTTCCAAATTTCCACTGAGCTGAGATGGAGTGATGGGCGGGGCTTAGATCAGACCACCAAAGCTGACCAATCAGAAGGTAGCAGAGGGTGCCTCACTTTACCCAGCTTCTACTTTTTCTAGTTTCAGGACAAAGATCAGTGTTTTTCAGCTTGTCTTGACTTTTCATCCATATGTATAACACAATGTGCAGAGATTGTATAAAGAAAAGAATCATTTTATTATTGCAGAGATATTTTTGGTATAAATGATGTAAAAGCAGAAAAATCCAGGTTAAGAATAAATATGTTTAGCTTCATTTGAGGAGGAAACAAAAAAAACCAAACAAATGTTGGCGCTTCAGTTCAGCCTAAATGTTTAAGCCTTGACCTCCTCTGCTGGTTGTAGTTTAACTCCGTCAGCAAACACAGGCAGGGTGTTTTGTGCTTCGGGTTAGCGTGTGCATGAGATCAGCTAGTTTGCCGTTTCCTTTCAATGAGTCGTTAATAACTAAAATGTTTGAAGTTAGAAGAAAATTAAGAATATCTATATTTTTAATGAACCTAAACCAGTATTTTAAGGATCTGTAAACCTTTGCATCCATTTTATAGTTTCTGTTGGAAGGTTTTGAGCCAGAAAATGATTTTTTTCTGATCATTTAGTTGTATTTCAGCCCCCCTCATGGGCCGTGTTTAGGAAACAGAAAAAAGCACTCGGCTGCAGAATGTCAGCCTGGCACTGCATTCGGTTCACCACTTTAACACCCCGCCTCACACTTATTTCAGATCTTTTAACGATAGGAATGCTTAATAAAATCGGTTTCTGAAGGCATGGGGGTAGGACTGAATGCGTGTGGTGATTAAGATCTGCTGGGTTTATGTTTGCCTGCAGAAACTATTAATGCTGACAGCAGGAAGAAGGTTTAAGAAGGTTTCTTTAGCCTCTGCCCCTTTAACACACCCTCAGAATCACGGTCTGCTCGCTCTGGTTCTGCTCCTTACCTCAAAGATAAAGTCAAACCTTGCTAAGTCACAAGCATTACCCATTAGTGCGAACAAAACCACTTTTTCTTTCATCCAAAGTGTTTGACTGTAGAGGTCGAACATGTGGAGGACGTAACGATCCTTGGAAAGATCACTGAACTCTGCTCCAAACATGTCCGTTTTTTTTTTTTTTGTGTATTCTTTATCTGAGTAGTGACGTTTAGAGGAGGTGGAATAATGTAACGAATTATTTCTTTGTCTTTTGATTTAAACGGCTGCATTATGTCGCAATGAGAGCAACTTTTAGGCTGATCGTTTTTTTCTGAAGTTTGATTTCTTGTAAATCATCTATTTATTCATGACACCAGCTTTACTTTGGTGACCTGTTGGTCTAGATATCTTGTGTATTTAAATAATAAAAATGACTTTTATGAAAAAAATGCTTCGTGCTCTTTTTTTTTTTTTTTTTTTTTTCAAACTTCAGCAGACTGGAGACGGATGAATTCAGTGATGTATAAAATATAAATGTAAAATAATCTGCAATGATTTTCATTTAAATTTGATTTACTTTTTTTTTTAAGTGCAAATTCTAAAGCATTCATGTTTTATGTGCAAAACAAACTATTTAAGAGTGTGAATTAATTAAAAAGCACAAATAAACAACAAAAGCTGAAATGTGGGTTTGCATTTGAAATCTGTCCTTTATTCCATGTAGGGGCTAAAGCGACGCTTAAAGCCACTGGAATGTTTATAAACCGGAATCTTATGGTTGATGTGCTTTGCCGGGGTTAGATGCTGTGAACAGAAAATGTCCAGACGC